GGCTACTTGGAATTTATCTCCGCCAATGACGGTATTTCGCTGGCTAACGGGGATCATCCTATGGTTAGTGAAATTCATTGGGATCCAACTGGTCGATACCTTTCCACAGTGGTAAGCAGTTTCTACCAGAAGAATGACAATGGTGTCTGGTTCTGGAATTCAGTTGGTCGCTGTCTATACAAAATGCCATTAAACGGTCTACGCACGTTTGCCTGGCGTCCGCGTCCACCAACGCTACTCTCAGCGGAACAACTTCAGGTGGGTAAATTCATTACGCCTCCACTTTTTAATTATGCGCTAGTACCATGACGAAAAATGAGCGAATTAGGGTTTATTTAATGATTCTCAGAATTAGTAGTGGATTCATATGATAACATGTGTAGGCGTGATAATAACACCGTCGCGGACACAAGTCACGTTGAACCGACCGATTGAATGCCTTCAACTTTCCATTAACCTATTTCAAATCCCTCCCGCAATAGTTAGCTAGACGGGAGATCTTAGAAATCCTCAGCAGGGTCGGGGGTGGGTGTCTCGGGTTGTGGCTGATCTCTCCTCTATTGTGCCTTGCGAAATGCCCCCATACGACCAAGCGTCTGAAATAGCTTCTGCTGATCAATCCCTGCTCACTGCCTTCTGATCGCGGTGTTCTCCCACCAAAATGAGAGAATGAAAAGCCAATATCTGGGGCTATTAGCTGGTTGGTGAACGACTGACATTTCATCTAGGGGAGTTGACTAAAAACCCTGATTCCAGATCAACCCAAAAGAGGCGTACGAACCACACCTTCCTGGTCGTGATGATGGCCACCGGTTTGAATCGGTATCGAGGTATATTAGGCATCTTGGACGTTTGATCCCGTCCAATGGATGTGATCCGATGAACTGGGCATCGGCCCCCGATAGATTTTGAACTTAATACACCGCTCCGTTACCTTGCTAGTCAGGCTTTGGTTAATCGAATATTCCGGTTGTGAACTCGCTACGACAATTCATCTGCCTTGGCCTTGGCAACCTAGCAGTATCATACCCTCGAGCAAAAATGGGCCTTTCTTTTTTATGAAGATTGTTGTAGCGTGATTTGATTGGCACGCAGTCTGGATTCAGGCGTGTCTGAAAATAATAAATATTTAGCTAGATGCTGTACGATATACTCTATCTATGCGATTGGGAACATGCTACAGCACCGTTCGCAAATTTCAGGTGGGTGATCCACTTGTTTCAGTTAACTTGTACTGTGAGATATTCAAACAGTGCAGGTTGCATTATCCAATCTACAGTGTGAATAGCATTAATATTATCGTGATTATTATTATTATTATATTTCACATGTTTGAATTCAGACCATGTGCTGAACAAAACACGGTACAATAATGTACATTAATACCGCCAGGTTGCTGAGGCCAAAGCGGGTGAATTTTCTTTGGGTATCCACAGCCGTAGTTTTTGGTTAACCAAAACTGACCCGTAAAGCACCAAGGCGCTGTCTAAACACCACATCCAATTGGGGGCCGGTGTTCCGTTCATCAGATCATACGTTCTTGGGACAAGGCCCAACTTCCATTGTTCCGTACACCGATAGCCAATCAAGCTGTAACCATTGCCAGAACCAGGGTTCGTACACCTCCTCTTAGTTTATTTGAACTTAGGGCTTTTAGCCACCTCCATTACGTGAGCTGCCGATGGTTCACTGATTCGCTTAAAATGCCATATATTAACTTTTTGTTCGTTCAAATTTGGAATGAAATCACCGTCACCAATTGATGGCAGTGAGTAGGAGTTCTTCGGTAGAGGCTATTTGAGATGCCGAAAGTACTGCGAGTCGCGAGGGAAAGATGACCTGTAACAACTCAATACGCCCACCATAGTGATGCTTCCGTAGACAGTAACGGAACTATTCATTGTCGAATTTTCGAAGCGTACAATGATAATCCCAGGGAAGCCAGGCTCATACAAAATGTTAAGCTTGTTGGCTCAGGTGCGCACAGCGGGAGCTATAATGTAAGGGACCTGATTTATCGGTTACTCTTGTCACTAAGCACCGTTGATCTCCGCTATTTCGATTCTCCTAGCTCCATATTTAGATAGCCGCCACCAGGCAACGTTCATCCTGCATGCGTATAAGAAGCTCGCGATTATATACATATTATGTTCTGACAATTCAAATGAATGAGCCGCCTGGGTTGGGTTTGTTAAGATCACCACTTAACTGATTTGCTATCTCTCTTCATGGGAGAACACAGGAGTGTAGCTTACCGCGGTAACCGTAGCGCGAGCGTAAAAACTTTTCATTCAAGACCCTGTGCAAAACTTCCGGCGGCATTTGCGTTCCACTTACGCAAATCACTTTTTTCTCCAAATGGGTCGAGTGAACGTAGTGGAGAATTTCTTTCAACAATCGCCTCATAGCGTGTCGAGAACTAGTCTGTATCTTGTCCCTTCCCTAGATTGAAATACTACTCACCAAGTTTTGTCGTGCCCAACTACTGCGGCGATTGATGATGGTAGTCCGCTGTCCAGTTTTCGGTGCCTCGTCATTATCGATACTTGTCGGTCAGTTTCGTCGTTATCTAACCCATTTCACACTTCATTGTGACACCACACGCTTTGCCACTTTAACTTGCAGAGATGGGTCCGCGGGTTATCCTCATTACTCAGTACATTTTTGCGATTCAGCCATCTTAGTTAATTTATGGCTTGATCGGGGACATCCGAAACCTGATCTGATGTGTTAAACCGAGTATCCTGGTCACAGAAAACATGCAATATTAACTGAAAAGCTGTTTCAACTGTTCTGGGTATGATAATTTTTTGTCTACTACCCTATTTCAGATTTTATAGGCCCCCAAACTTTAGGATTTCTTCAGTGCACGTATGGTGGCCGTGTAGACGGGATAACAAAACGACCTGGTTGATGTTATTCTTGTCATCTTCAAAATTATTCAAACCGTTGTTCCACTACTTGTCTTACTTTTCAAAGTCACTTTTTGTTCCACACTATACATTGCTGCTTGGATGATGACTCACTGTAAGGTAATTGCCGTAGCTCAACAAATCGAACGCGATGATTGGATTTGGGCCTACCGTTGTATTTGATTTACTTCAGAATCGCGAAGTTCCGAAAGTAGATCCTGTTAGCGTGCGAGTAGTCTCCCGAGCTAGGTTAGTTTCTACAGCAGAGCCTAGACCACCTCACAGAAACAGAAAAAAATTCGACTGATAAACCAGTCTAGGTGAGCTTGCTAATGTGTTATCCACTGGGCTTTCACCCAATTCTGGCTCAGATAAGATGTCTGGCGCGTTGCTGATTCAACACATGTTTTGCCTTCCTTCATTCTGGTGCCGTGGCAATACCCGAATTGTGGCTGTCACGTCTATACCATTCCTCTATGCAACTTATTTTTCTGCCTCATAAGCTTGACAGCTCCGTGCCGGACCTGTAAGAAGAAGCCTGTGACCCATGGGCATGCCGGAAGCACTGTGCATTGTTTGGCTTCATTTGAACGCGAGACCTGTTTTTTCGGCCTGTCTCTGTTACCGGGTCATCTACCCAACCGCCTGACAGATGACTAAGGAGATTGTCATAGCAGTGAATATAAGCCCATTTCTTCCAAATTTTTATTTTGTGTTTGCACCCATGATTTTCAGAATATAAAGAAGAACATGTCCAAATACAATACTCACTTTGCCAATGAGGATAAGATGCTCGCATCCAAAGCAAGTCGGGAGCTGTTGGAAAAACGTCAACGGCTCTTGTCCGAATTCACCGCGTGGAAGAATGGAATCATCAAGCAATATCAATCCGAGAAATCGGAACGTATTGCGCTTCGTGGTGAGTGTGATGCCCATGCGATATCTGTGTTTCTTGACTTTGGCGCTGATAAGGCAAACTAACACTAAAAATGTTCAGGATTTATTTGGTCGAATATGATTCACATAATACTCAGGGCTAACCGCTTGTTTCTATCACCATTCACTACTTTCGGTTTTGAAAGTTCACTTTTAAAGAAGTCATTCATCCTCTCTTGAGTTTTGAGGCCTTTGGCACTGAGGATTGCAGCTGGACATGTGCAGAACTTTTACCCATGTCCCCTCCACGTCATACAGCGCAACCCTAGTGGTGGGGAGGGATACGTGATTTGCGTTTCCATATATTCTCGCATTTGAGTTCTAATTCCGGTCGCCTCATTTATGGAAGTGGATAGATACAGCCGTTGGACTAAATACAGCCACTTAAATGATTTATCAGAGGTTTATCCGTTTCCTCTCTATTCGGATCAACTTGTCCACGCAACATCCCTAAAGATAGTCGTTTTCTCATCCCCTAGATATTCTTGATTGATAACGCAAGCGTTTTATTCTTCGGGTGTGCTCTGCTAACATATCACTTGGCTTCTACAGGTATGGACACGGACAACGTTACGGCCGATGGTCAAACAGAGGAGGAGTTGGAAATTATTGTCAGTACAGTCAAGAAGGTTGTTCGACGAAACACCGACGACTAGTTGCACTGCACTTGGTCACTCAACTTTGTCTCCTCGTCCAGCTAATCGGAAACTGCCTCACGCCTATCTGGATAGTGCTGTTGTGATTGAACTGTCTATCACCTGCTCATTTGTCCACCTTTCCCCGTCCACATACTTATATATCTATCACTGTTTAAGGGGTTGTAGTATGCCACTGGACGATCAATATCCTTCAGTGAGCCGCTCGGCCCCATCCTTTGTTCATATGATCTTTGACATGCCGCGAGTGATGAATATGGTAATGGCTTGGACAACTGGACTGTGCTTTGTATCTTTTTCTATTAAAATCGGTAGCTGGGAAAGTCTTACTGACCATCTGCTCCTGGTCCTGTAAGTCCACAAGTAATGCACTCTAATATGACAAAACTACCTACGCAATTCAGTTATTCAACTCATTGAGTAAATGAGTTTTCCAATCACTTTATGCTTAATAGAAATAACCACGAGTTAGTCATTTAGTAGGGCTCAGTCTCACGATACACAGATTGTACAAACCAGTCATTATACTAGGAATGTAAATTCTTGAGAAAACCTTGTTTACAAATAACCTTAGTTACTTTATCACATTGGTAAGACAGCACGATAAGGTTACACTAGACATGGCGCACAGGAAGAGCAAAAGAAGAAAATGGTAAATTTTATAGACCCCGAAGTTTTGGTTGCTGGTTTCTCACCCCTCCAGATGCTCTTAGGTGGGTGCTTCGTTCCGGCGTTGGACCTATGCCCAACTGCCATGCGGATCAGTCAAAGGCTCCGGTCAGGGTTCCCAAAGAAAACCCCCCTCACCAGTGTGGGCTACCATGAAGTATGATGTAACGTAAAATCTCAAGTACCCGTTTGAAAAACCCTCCTATCTAGTTCTTCCTTTCACCTCCAAATCTTACGGGATACCTCCAGCACCTGCCACTCACGGGATATCGCTTAGCGTTTAACTAATGAGTTCAATGAACTGGAGGTTGTCAGGTGGCGGTAACGCAGTGGTTTAGGCGCTATCATCGGCATGCATTGGACCTTATGGTCCGAAGTTCGAACACCGCCACCCAATTTGGTGACAGGCAGCGTGACTGTCGTCCGGCTGAATGCCACCTAACCTAGTGGGGTCATTCCAAGTCCTGGGGCTTAGGTTACCGGGTTCCATGACCGAACATCAGGTCTTCGTGACTATGGAACCTTCCCCGTTTGCGTTTCATCACACTAAAGTGTGTAATAATAAAATAAAGATTATCCAAAAACAAAATCTCCGTTTCAGTTGGCTGCACTCAATGTCCGCATACTATCAGGTCGACCGACAAGCTGCCTTAACTAGGATCCTTGAGAATTTCAATTTAGATGAACGTTGTCTCCGTAATACATATGAGACTCTGCTTCAATCGTCACTGCATTCTTCAGATCCGACTTCATCTTCACACTTCGTTTTTCATATGTTAGGTGATTCGGCGTCCGACGCTGGTGTCAGGATTGCGCTAAGCGTCAAGACAGCAGTCATTTCTTGACTGGGTTCCGGTTGATATTTATCTTTGTCCTGTACGTCTCAACGGTTTAGTACGGAACAACAGTTGGGGAATGAACCGTCGGCGCTTATTCATCTTGCCCTTGTATGCAGAAACCGATTGCAATGCATCGAAAATCAAGGATGAACTTAACAAAGTTCTTCAGCTCTCCAAAAGTTCTTGTTCAACGGTATCGTAGTATTCGCTGGAGACTTCAATGCCTAAGTGAGATCCCTGGATGAATCAGAAACGTATCCAGCCGGCCCGCACGCAATCCCAGCCAACAGGATGGACAGCAACGATAGCCTAACTCAACTCTGTACGAACCACGGATTGTTTCTGTCAAGCACCAAACGGTGGATCTTGTCGACCTTGATTGTTGGACGCGCTGAGCCCCATTCCTCCAGACTCTCAGTTTGACGCTGCCCGCAAATCCCCTAAACGCCAGCTCATCAAAAACCTAAGGAATGAGCACGAGAAGTGATGGGTAGGAAAGTGCAGACAGATGAAGGCTACAGCTATCGGTAATAGTCGTAATCGTTCCCGTCTAATTAGGCACACCGTCTCAAGGAAAGTAGGCGTAAATGATTTATGAAGTAGTCTGACGGCACACCGGTTCATATTCAGCTATGGGTGGGCCCGGTTCAGCTATTTGTCGTCGATAGTGGATCTCCCAGTTCCTACCTCAACTGGGCAGATACTGCCAGGACCCTATATAAAATGAAGGTTACTCGGAAAGTAAGTTGTCCCAAAAGGTGTAAGGCCTCTGGCACGAACGGGCTTATCCCGTTGGCTTTTAAGGATGAACACAGCGTTGATCCTAGAGTTGGCGAAAACCCTGGGCTAAATATGGGAGAGGGATTTAGTCCCAACTAAATAATGTGAATCGGTCGTCTTAGAGATTTACGAGAAAGACAACAGGTCCTCTTGTGAGAATCACGGAGGAACTATTGTGAATGTCATAATGTTAATAACACAGCGATGTCGATAGACAATTATATTCGCTGACGTTTCCGTTACCGCGGGTAACATTTCTCAAGGTAGGTTTTACAATTGAGAAAACGCCTTGAGAAAGGTTACCCACGGTAACGGAAACGTCGGCGAATATAATTCTCTACCGACATCACTGTGTTATTAACATTATAATATTCACAATAAAACAACACATGGCGCATCGATTTTTCGGTACACTCCTAATATCATTTGGTCCTGATGTATCACAGAGGAATTAGTTTGATCATAATGGTCTCTAAAACTCGCTGGCAGTATACTCCGTCGATTGTCTGTCGCACGTCAACGGTGTGCGCGTGGGGATCATTCTGGTTATAGACTTGATCGAGGACACTCCTTTCGTCGAAGTCACCATTCCTATCTGCCCAAGAAGTGTATTCCAATTTTGCAGTCTATGTTAATCCATCACGACGAGACTGCACCTTGACGCGGTGTGATGGCTTGCGTGCCTCCATGACCCTGCGAGCTACACAGGATGGCTTTTCACAGCCGGAGATCCAATCATGCCTGAAAAGTCAACGGGTAGAGGCCAGACGAAGCTCAGTCTCACAAGCCAGCTGCTTGGG